CCCCCTAGTCGTCAGTGCACATCACAGTGAGCGGTCAGACTCCCAAGGTGACAATTTTCATATTAGCTTTTTTGTTATATAGGATTATAGTATAGTATAGAAAGTTAGGGGGCGAGGATCTGCATTTTAATGCCACCCCTACCACACTCCCCAGACGACTAGTATGGTCATTAGCACTGAGAAGCCCCACATTGAATGTTAGGACCTCGTGGCTGGTCTGCTAACTCCCTTCATTATGGAGCAGCAATGAGCATGAATATTGCTTTGAGAACTGGCTTATGTCTATTCACAAGGGTCTCAGGTACCATTATTAGTGTGGTCAGCTAACCAAATTCACAACAGGAGGAAATGCTAAATTTCAGTTAGAAGTTTTAGGAACAAAAGTGTGACCATTTCCCTCTGAATTTTATCTACAAGTCCCAAATGAAGAATCCCTGATCTGGAATGTTCCAGGTCATCTGGGGAAGAGAAAGATGACACACTGGCTTGGAAGAGCATATGCCTAACAGTGACTCATCAGTTTTGATCGCATTTCCCTGGGCAGAGCGAGCCACACACCCAGTCCCCGGGGCAGGGAGCAGAATTCTCCCAGGAAGGACAGCAGACTCAGTAGTAAACAACTTCGGGGTGCATCTCGGACATGGCAGCTTTTTACATTGTCACTGGTCCATTTTACTTTGTAATTTTATATCTTCCTGGGCCGCCATCCATTTCATCACGTCTTCCAAATTTATTGGGCTGAAGTTCTGCTTGATAGTTGTGATTGACTTTGTCCATCTATAGTCCCCTTTCTCTTTGCAATGCCTGCGTCCTCAACCAGGCACAACGTTACTCCCCTCCCTCCCCAGGAGACATTTGGCAATATCTGGAGACTTATTTGACTCTTACAACTGGGGAGGGAGGTGCTACTGGCAGGCAGTGAGGAGGGGTCAGGGATGCTGTGAAATATGCTACAATATACAGGACAGCCCACAGCAAAGAAGAACCTGGCCCAAAATGGCAATAGTGCAGAGATAGAGAACCCTGATCTATTGGAATCTTCTCTTTTTAAAAAAATAAATACATTTTTGCCCTGACTGGTTTGGCTCAGTGGATAGAGCGTCGGCCTGCGGACTGAAGGGTCCCGGGTTCGATTCCGGTCAAGGACATGTACCTTGGTTGCGGGCACATCCCCAGTAGGGAGTGTGCAGGAGGCAGCTGATCGATGTTTCTCTCTCATCGATGTTTCTGACTCTCTACCTCTCTCCCTTCCTCTCTGTAAAAAAATCAATAAAATATATTAAAAAAAAAAAAAAAGAAATAGCACTTATTATCTAAGACTTTTTTCTAAGATAAAGAAAGAGGTCCCCGAAACCAGTTTGGCTCAGTGGATAGAGTGTCGGCCTGTGGACTGAAAGGTCCCAGGTTTGGTTCCGGGCAAGGGCATGTACCTTGGTTGTGGGCACATTCCCAGTAGGAGATGTGCAGGAGGCAGCTGATGGATGTTTCTCTCTCATCGATGTTTCTAACTCTCTATCCCTTTCCCTTCTTCTCTGTAAAAAATCAGTAAAATATATTTTTAAAAAATACATTTTTAAAAATGTTTTCATTGATTTTTAGAGAGAGAGGGAGGGGGAGAAAGAGAAGCATTGTGATGAGAGAGAAACATCGATCGGCTGCCTCCTGCATGGCCCCCACCAGGGATTGAGCCCCAACCCGGGCATGTGCCCCGACTGGAATCAAACCAGTGACCTCTTGGTGCATGGGTTGACACTCAACCACTGAGCCACACCAGCTGGGCGGAATCTTCTCTTTTTGAGCAAACCTCCCCTTTTAACAACCAAGTTTGGTTTTATTGATCAAGTGCTGGAATCTTCATTTATTTCTTCTAGTTTCTTGACTCCCATATGGCTCACTTGCTTTCAGTCTTTTGTTAGAAATGAACTTAAAAGTGATAGGTTATGGCGCCCTGGCCAGTGTGCTAAGTGGTTAGAGCGGCGGCCCATATATCAGAGTCTTGGGTTTGATTCTCCATCATGGGCATGGACCTGGGCTGCAGGTTCAATCCTAGCTCCAATTGGGGCACATGTGGGAGAAAAGCAATCAGTGTGTCTTCTCGCATCGATGTTTCTCTCTCTCCTCCCTCCCTCTCTCCCTTCTACTCTCTCTACAAAGCAATGGAAAAGATATCCTGGGGTGAGGATTAACAACAACAAAAAAGTGACAGGCTGTGGGTTTTGATACACTGCACTCTCACTGCCCATCCCTATGGGGGTTTATAATCTGATTTGGATTCATGAACAAAAATTGTTTGAAAATATGTCCTAGAATTTTCAGGCTGACTTTTTTGAAAACCTTTTATGAGACCATGTTAGAGTCATAAAAGTTTAATTCACATCTATTGGGTGAGTTTTATCTTTTCTTTAATAAGAAATTTCTAGTGGCTTTCATCATCACAATTTCTATATTAAAATTGATATTCCTGCTTTCACTTAGCATTTTTTTAGAATGTTTTTCTATCATTTTCTATTCTTTGTCATTTTTACTTAGGTCTCTTCACATTAAGCTGACTTTTTGAAAATTTTTAAAAATACCTTTTTATTGATTTCAGAGAAGAAAGGAAAGGGAGAGGGAGAGATAGAAACATCAATGATGAGAGAGAATCATTGATCAGTTGCCTCCTGCACGCCCCCTACTGGGACCAGCCTGTAACCCAGGTATGTGCCCTGACCAGGAATCAAACCTTGACCTCCTGGTTCATAGGTTGACACTCAAACCACGGAACCACACCACATCAGCCAGGCTGACTTTTTGAAATCTTGAACAGGTAAATTTAATCCATTTATGTGTGTTGTACTTACATTTAAGTTTGATTTTTACCAAATTTTGTGTGCTGGCTTTTTTTTTTGTTTTTTTTTAATGGTTGGTTCTCTCTTGTGGTGTGGAAGCAATACTTTCCATTTCATTACTTTCTCATATCCCACATTTTATCCACTTCCTTTTTTCCCCCTGCTGTGTACATACAATTCAAGTATGATACCCTGAGTCATCTGTCAGCTGGCTTTTCTTTTTCCACTGAATGCTAGTTCAAATGTAGAATAATTTCTGTAGAACTTCATAGAACTTTATTTTATTTCCATCTTGCTACCATCCAGTGTGGTCTGAGAACTTGTGTGCTGATCTGAACATTTTTCTTTCTGAAACCTTTAATAGCTTATCATTCTGGGCTTCTGAATTTGGCCACCATTTCTAGATAAGGCATCTTAAGGCCCATGGCCATGTTTAGTGTTGATAAGTAATTATTTGCTCTGTTCTGTCCTACCCAATCTAGAACTAGCTATCATATCTTTTCTTTTACTTTCCTGCTGGAAGCTACCCATTGTCTACACCAGTGGTTCTCAACCTGTGGGTCTCAATCCCTTTGGGGGTCGAACGACCCTTTCACAGGGGTCGCCTAAGACCATCGGAAAACACATATATAATTACATATTGTTTTTGTGATTAATCACTATGCTTTAATTATCTTCAATTTGTAACAATGAAATTGGGGGTCACCACAACATGAGGAACTGTATTAAGGAGTCGCAGCATTAGGAAGGTTGAGAACCACTGGTCTACACTATCATGAAAGTACAGCAGGGAACACAGAAGGCTGATGGACCTTGGGCTTTAGCAAGGGCTAAAAGCTATGCACCAATTGTTCTGTCGAGACAATGGTGGCTCAAGGCAATCCCCTAACCCAGTGGTCGGCAAACTCATTAGTCAACAGAGCCAAATATCAACAGTACAACAATTGAAATTTCTTTTGAGAGCCAAATTTTTTAAACTTAAACTATATAGGTAAGTACATTGTTATTAACTTAATTAGGGTACCCCTAAGGCTTAGGAAGAGCCACACTCAAGGGGCCAAAAAGCTGCGAGCCGCAGTTTGCCGACCACGGCCCTAACCTGATAATCTTTTACTGTTTACCAAACTTTACTTTTGATATGCTTGTTTGTTTAGCTAAAGGGCAAATGTGTAGTCTAGTAAATAAAAGGCTATGGTTCCGGAAATTTGGAGAAACTCTCCACTCGAGAGAGGCCTGGCTCCCCCCATGCCTTCTAAATTTATATTTCTTGTCTAGTGTATCCATTTATGCGCAGCCCCTTCTCCAGATCCTGAATCCTCGCTGCAAAAGGTTGCGGCACTTTCCCTGTTGTAACATCCTTTTGCTAGTCAACTTACTGGAAGAGAATGGAAATAAACCTGGGAATGAAAACTGCTTTTATACCTTCAAGTTCTTGATTTGGACATGTCCAAAAAGAAAAGATTGCCAAGACAGCACAAGGTAGCAGATACTGGAGCAAACACGCCTGTGTTCAAATCCCAGCTTCACCCTGGAGCAAATCGATTTAGGCGTGTCTTCCTGGCTCTGGCTTCCCCAAGCATTTGGTTCCTGGTCGAAATCCTGTATGTTTGGGCATGATCCGTCTGACGTGGTTGTAGGGGAGGGAAGGAACACTCGATTTGGTGGAGATGTTCTGAGCATGGGGTTCCCTGTCTCCCAGGGTATCTCTAACTTCTTGGGCCGTTTGCGTTATTTCTCTGGTCTAAGCACCCTCATTTCCTAGTCGCTGGGGGGAGGGGAACTAAGGGAGGGTGGATACTGTTGCTACTTGCAGTTTGGTATACATAAGGGAGGGGCCATTCTTTACGTGGGTCATCAACTAGTGAGCCAGGAAGCTGTTCTAAGACACTAGTAGACCTGAGTACTTCTGTGACCACTCCCCTGTTCCCAAGTGGGGTTGGCCTGTGATTTTTCCTTCAGTCTGATTTTATCTAACCTGTCCCTTCGGCCTCCTTATGATTTCTGAGCTGTCAGTGCATGGCACACCTTCTCCTCTCCCAGTGTGGTCATCTAGATTTAAGTGTCTTCCTATCCCTGGGCATCTGGGCAGAAGGAAGAGGCAGACCCGCATCTCTTGTCAGTAATCTCGATCAGAGTAACCCGTAAATTCTTGAATCTTTTATGTATTTGAAGGCGACAAACCACACAAGTGTGAGTTCTGTGACAAGAGCTTCTGCCGGAAGGACAATCTGACCATGCACATGCGGTGCCACACCAGCGTGAAGCCCCACAAGTGTCACCTGTGCGACTACGCCGCCGTGGACAGCAGCAGCCTCAAGAAGCACCTGCGGATCCACTCCGACGAGCGGCCCTACAAGTGCCAGCTCTGCCCCTACGCCAGCCGCAACTCCAGCCAGCTCACCGTCCACCTCCGGTCCCACACGGGTAAGTCCCTGACCCGGACACCTGGGCCTGACTTGCCAATTTCTTAACCTTTTATTTACCTAAAACACAAGCAACTTCAACACCTTGGTGGTTAAGTAAAGAAATTTGGAATCTCTGTGGTGATGGTGAAGCTTGTGGTTTTAATTGAAAGATGAAAACCCAACAGCTGGGTTTCCTAACGTGACTGCGTAGCATGCAGCTGGATAAGGACCCAGAACAGCAGCCAGGAAGCAACGGTGTATCTTGAATTATCTGAAGTATAAACTAGGTGTTTCAGTCTTTTCACTAAAACTCTGATTGCATAGTTTAATCCAGAAACATGTAGCAGAAGCAGTGGAACGTAACTGCAGATCACAGACTTCCAGTTCTAGAAATTGGACTTTGCAAAGAGCTTTTCCTTCCCTTCTTTGTGAGACCCCGTTGAAATAATGATCGATCCACCGATAGACCCCAATAATCGATCATGGCACAGAAAAATGGGGATTGGGAATCTCATAAGAAGGTTCATAAAATGAGAATTTTCAATGAATTCATGGGAGATGGCGAGCAGACAGAAATACGTTGTCACCTAAAATCGGGTAAAGAAAACTGTCCCGGCAGATAGCTGGGAGGCAGCCTGGCAGTTGGAGCCTGCCCTGCAGCCAGTGTCTGGCTGTCCTGAGAGCTCTGGACTTGTAGACAGCCAAGGCCCCAGAGCTCAGAGAAGCTGAGCCTATTGGCAGAATGGCCCAGACTACCCAGCAGGTAAATTTCTATGGCACCTGTGTCTCATCCTTAGGCCGATCCACTCTTCCTAAGCAAAAGTATCAACTGTGGATTCTGAGTCATTTGTGGGAAATGATGGTGTAAAAAGTGCCAAGTCTAACAAATAACTAATTCTGGAGCTAACGGAGTACTTGGGTGATAGATGAGGATTTTTCAGTTCTAATTGGTATCTATCCACGGGCAGAAATGTTGCATCCAAGAACAGTTCTAGGAAAAGGGTAGTAAGAACAAAGAGGTGTGAATTTAAACTGGGATTGCTGTCTCTAAAGTTTTTTAAAATCCCAGAGATCAGGAAAAAAAAAAGTGTTGGAGAACTGAGAACAAATAAGAAGCCAGAAGTCTGGTTGCTGACTAGGTCTAGGAAGAAAAGAAAATAGAAGTGAGGAAATCAAATGAGAAAAAGAATTTCCTAATTCTAAGGGGCCGTGGGAGTGGAAGGCTTCACAGAATGCCACGCAGGGCCAAGGAGTGGCTAGAGCAGTCTCCACCTAGAAAGACTTCTCAGTGACAGTGACTTCAAAGTTGGAAAATCATTTTGAGTGTAGAATTTTATACCCAGCCAAACTGTCTTCAAGTACAAAGACAGGCTAGACCAGGGGTGGGCAAACTTTTTGACTCAAGGGCCACAATGGGTTCTTAAACTGGACCGGAGGGCCGGAACAAAAGCATGGATGGAGTGTTTGTGTGAACTAATATAATTCAAAGTAAACATCATTACATAAAAGGGTACGGTCTTTTTTCTTTTTTAGTTTTATTCATTTCAAATGGGCCGGATTTGGCCCGCGGGCCGTAGTTTGCCCACGGCTGGGCTAGACAAAGGTGTATACAAGGACTCAGATTTTTCTCTAAGCCACCATTCTAGGGGAGGTACTGGAAGATAAGCGCTGTCAAAACAAGGGAGAAAAATTTGACATGGGGTATTTGATATGTGAACATGTGAATATGGCTAGCTGGGATTGCAATAAAGGGAAGTAGCAAGATGGTAACTTGTATAGTAGGCTAAGAGGAAAAAAATCAGCACATCAGAAACTCAGAAAATTTATTAGAAATTCCATGTAAATGCTTACATAACTAAAAGACTGGACAACTTGAGATCATGATGAGATTCTTTTTACTCAAGAAATGCGCAGTATAGTCAAGAGCATGCATAATAAAATGTGGCCCAAAATGCACCTGTAGGAAAAGAGGATCGATTCAACCTTGATGCATATTACCAACTGATCCAGGTGTGGCAGTGATCCTGGAAGGGGGTGCACATAATCCTGGTGCCATAGTTGGCTCTGATGAATATCACATACTCAGTCATAATATAAATTGCTTCTATAGCGGTCCTCAAATCACACAGTTTTGTTCCATGTTGTTTCATTATAACGTTGATAGGAACATAACTCTATATCAGTTAGCCTATGGTAAAACTGGTTTCATTACACGTCGTTCCGCTTAAAGTCAAAGAACCCATCGACGACGTTCAGAGAGGACTCAGTGGAGCTGGACTCTAAACGTTGACAACAGCCCTAGCCAGTTTGGCTCAGTGGATAGAGCATCCACCTGCGGACCAAAGGGTCCCGGGTTCGATTCCGGGCAAGGGCTCAGACCTTGGTTGCAAGGCTCCTCCCTGGCCCGGGCCCCGGTCAGGGCGTGCGCAGGAGGCAAGCAATCGATGTGTTTCGCTCACATCGATGTTTCTGTCCTTCCCTCTCTCTTCCACTCTCTCTAAGAAGATCAGTGGGAAAATATCCTGGAGTGAGGGTTTAACAAAAAAATAAATAAAAGTTGAACACAACTAGTTAAAGCTTGAGAATTCGCAAATGTTGTTGAATTTAAATGTAAAAATAAAGCTATTCCTGACAAGAAGAGGGGATCCTCAAAAAAAAAAAAAAAAAACCTCTGAAGCTGATGGGCTAACAGTTGTGAGGCTGTCAGTTCGGAAGGTAATGCTAGGAGGTCAGAACCACAGCCAGCACTGCGGGAGGGCGCTGGGGGAAAGGGTGCCCGTGTAGGACAAGTGAGATCTCGTCTGGGCGTAGCGTCACGATGATGATACGTAAAGTAACGACCTCCAAAAGAACTAAAAGCCCTTCGCAGTGCCTCCAGGGGGGGCAGGGGAAGCTATAGCTTCTCAGTATTTGTCTCCTGCTGCCATCTTCACGTGTTCCTGCTATAAATAAAACTCGGTGTTTGTAGTTGGAAAAATGCGAAACTTTCGCTAGTAATAAAAGGCAATTAACTGATGTCCTTGAGCTTAAACGCTAGAGTAAGCATGCTTCTAAGTGTTAGCTGGATGTGGGACAGCTGGTTGTAACGTACGCACCTCTTCCCCCTTCTGTGCTCAGTTTTGCAATGTCAGGCTAAGTGAGAGTTTAGAATCGAAACTGAAGTGTCCTCACGAAGGGTATGGACTTGGGCGCCATGATGCCTGGGTTCAGATCCCTGCTATTTAGATCAATCAGTTATCCCATCTGTAAAATGGGGGGAGGGGAGTAATGGTGCCCATTCGCAGGGCTGTTGTGAGGATTCAGCGAGTTAATAGACATGGTAGATGGTGTTATTAGGAGGCTACAGGTAGCTGGAGTTCAGAGACCCAACTGTCTCTTTGCGGCCAAGTGTTCTGACGCATGTTTGGGGGGGAGTTCTGTGTTGCCTGCCTGCTCTAATGGAAACACACCTTCCGTTGCTAGGGGAAACCCCCTTCCAGTGCTGGCTGTGTAGCGCCAAGTTCAAAATCAGCTCGGACTTGAAAAGGCACATGATCGTGCACTCGGGGGAGAAGCCTTTCAAGTGCGAGTTCTGTGACGTCCGCTGCACCATGAAAGCGAACCTCAAGTCGCACATCCGCATCAAGCACACCTTCAAGTGCCTGCACTGCAGCTTCCAGGGCCGGGACCGGGCGGACCTGCAGGAGCACAGCCGGCTGCACCAGGCCGACCACCCCGAGAAGTGCCCCGAGTGCAGCTACTCCTGCTCCAGCGCGGCCGCCCTGCGCGTGCACAGCTGGGTCCACTGCAAGGACCGCCCCTTCAAGTGCGACTTCTGCAGCTTCGACACCAAGCGGTCCAGCAGCCTGGCCAAGCACTTCGACAGGGTGCACAGGGACGAGGCCAAAACGGAGAACCGGGCCCCGCAGGGCAAGGAGGGGCCCTGAGACGGCGGCTCTCCGCACGTGGCCAAAGTCAAATCATAACTCAGCGGGCCTTCCGCTGCGAGACCTGCGGGGCCGCCTTCGTCTGGGATGACTCTCTGCGATGCCACAGGAAGCAGCACAGCGACCAGAGCGAGACCAAGAACTCAGACGTGGTCACCTTTCCGCCCAAAAGTGGTGCCTCGGGGCAGCCGGGCGCCCTGGTCTCCGCGGGGCAACTGGAGGCCGCCCTGGAGCCCGGCCTCTGATCCCATGAGGAGGGGTGTGAACCGCCCAGAAACCCAGGCAAAGGCTGTTCCCAGCCATTGGGTGTGGCCATCAAGCCAGACTTTGTCACCAGCTCTGGGCATGGCTGCCCCCACCTCATGGGCCTCCAGACACCCCGGCTGCAGTCCCTGTGGCCAGAAGGCAGATGCCTCCCGCCGCTGTCCTCCCTCCAAGAAGCCACGAGGCAAGGTGACCAGTCGGCCAGGTGACCAGGGTGGGCCCCCTGAGCGCTGCTCTGCCCAGTAGGACAGCTTCTTTATGATGGACTCTAGCTCTGAGACGGGGCCGCCTCTGGTGCAGTTATTAAACGACTGAGACTACATGGGACACGAAAACTAAACTGACCTATTAGTGGGAACGGTTAGGGAGAGGATGGGTGCACGGAGGCTCTGGGAAGCTCTGGCTCTTAACCCTGGTGGTGGTGGGTTTAAGAGTGCTCGCCTTACACGTTTTTGTATGGTTCCTCTTGTCAGTTGTAGTAAAATAAAACTCGTCTGCCTAAGGCTGTAAGAGGGACACTCGTTTCCTCCCGTGGACAGGTGGTGGTCTGCTCTCCGCCCACCCCTCCTCCAGTGATCGGAGATGCACAGATTCCCAGTGTCGGTGCTGTCTGCCGGGACCGGAGATGCGGTGTGACCGGTAGGTGGCAGCAAAGATCAGCTAACAAAAGCTCAGCCTGTCACTGCTTTGTGAAATTCAGTATTTGTGTGAAGAAGGGACCAGGGGCTCAGTGGGCCCTGGGCTTGTTTCTGGGCCTGTGATGCATGGGACAGCCTGAGACTAGCGTCTTTCATCACAGGAAGCACGGGGTGTGTACTGCACCAACCAGGAAGTGAACACCCAGACCTCTTGTAAATGGACATGGTGCTTAACTTAGGAGGAGGCTACAGACACCAGTGGCTAGTGCCTGATCTAAAATTGCTTTTTTTTTTCCTCCTACTTTGGCATCTTTTCTTCAAATACAGTCTCTGTTTGATACAAGTTCTTGTGTGTCCCTGGTCAGGCTGAAAATCGATGCCATTAAGACAGATTAAATAGATCCATTGGTTTCGATAAAGTGGGAAAGGACGTGAAAACAAATGTTCATAGGTTATCTAAAAGCGACTATTTCCCTTATGAAATAGCAAGAGGTATGTAGCTTCTTTTGTCATGAATCTTGTCGTTGGAACCAACCTGATATCATTAAGGTCTAACGTCAGGCGAGTGATACACCTGGTTGAATCCCTTTGTTGTAAGGAAATGATGAAAATGAGACCTACCCCCCCGCCCCCGCCCCCACGATAGAATTGATCAGTGCTTTGCTTTAGAACATTGTTTCCGGTGGCTCGGAGAAGTGCGTGGTCGCGGAGTGCAGTGCCCGCTGTCACCGGGCTGCTGTCTGCAGGAGTCTTATCTGCACGTCTCTTCTAATAACAGGAGGGCTGTTGACCTCTCAAGTGGGAGCCCAGAGATCAGAATCACACACATGTTCCCCGACTTCCGGTGTTATCTCCCTCGGATAAACAGGGAAGACGTCGGCCTTCTCAGGAGGCTTTTCTTTCTCGGACGGCTGCATGAGCTGCAGGTCTTAGATCTACCCTGGCTCCACCCTGTGAATTTGGGTTCCCTGTGCAGCTGAGATCAGTGACAAGTGTGGGACCAGATAGTCACTATCTGAGCCATCGTGGGGCCCTAAGTCTCTTTTGTGAGTAAACTCTGGTTTTAGCACAAAGGCAGACATAGGCAATAAGAAAAAGAATGAGTGAGTCTGTGTTCCGAAACAACTTTATGAAATAATTCAGGAAGTGGGAGAATAAACCGGCTTGTTGTGCTCAGATGAGACTGGTAAATACACAGATTATCACCAGATAAGATGGGGAACAGCCATATGGCCGAGGGGCTGCCGGCAGCATGGTGCAGCCCAGATAAGCCATCTCTATACCTCCGTTCGCAAGGCTGGTGTGGACCGGAAGGGGAAATTGACAAATGAGTGTGTGTGTAGTTTGACTTCACTTGGACCAGGGGGTGGGTGAGCTTTTTCTGCAAAGGGCCAGATAGTAAATATTTGGGGCTATGCTGGCTTTAGTCTCTGTCAGAACTGCTCAATGCTGCACTTCTGCTGTTGTAGTTGTTCTGCATTGTAACTAATCGGCCGCAGGTAATAGGTAAACAAATGGGCATCGCTGTGTGCCAATCAACTTTGTCTACAAAGACAGGCCCTGGTTTGGAGGGCCACAGTGTACTGACCCCTGAGCAGGACTGTTTGAGCGCAAACAGCAGGGTAAGTGGTCCTGGGTAAGTGCAGGGGAGACGTGCTAAGAATGCTGCAGTTCCTGGGATCCCTTCGAGGAGGGTGCTGCTCAGTGCAGAAGATAGGGGAGTTCCAGGTGGGCACTGGGAAAACTGGTCCTTTTAATCCTGATTCAGATCAGCTATGAGAACTGCAGTGGAGACTCCAAAAACCAAAGTGGCATCCTCTCACTTGCCTCTGCTTAAGATGTCTTGCTGCCTTCTACATACTATAGAACATGAAGTTTCTGTTTGTCCCTGCATTTAATTTCTTCCTTAAAGAAAAAGGATGAGCCAAAACCGGTTTGGCTCGGTGGATAGAGCGTCAGCCTGCAGACTGAGAGGTCCCAGGTTCGATTCCGGTCAAGGGCATGTACCTTGGTTGCGGGCATATCCCCAGTAGGAGATGTGCGGGAGGCAGCTGATCGATGTTTCTCTCTCATCGATGTTTCTAACTCTCTTATCTCTTTCCCTTCCTCTCTGTAAAAAATCAATAAAATATATTTAAAAAAATAAAGAAAGAAAAAGGATGAGCCTCATTCTGTTGCCATGGTGATGTGTCCTTCCTCTGGGCCGACGCTATCCTGAGAACTTGGCCTGTGTTCACTCATCTGCTTCTCCAGGTGCCGTCCAGAGCTGGGACCAGGAGGCCAGTGGCGCATTCGCCCAGGGCACCGAAAACTCAGGAGCCAAGGAACAATATTTCACTACAATGCTTTTTAAGTTGGCAACTATGACCCACAGGCCAGCCACTTTGTTTTTGTAAATAATTTTATTAGAAGTTGGCCAGGAGTTAGGGCGGGGCCCTGCAATGCAGGGCAGAGTTGGAGCCTGTAATTAAAATTCTGGCGTTTTGTTCATGTGGATTTTTTTGTTGCATTGGATTTGGATTTTAGAAAATTGCATTTAGAATTCACCTTGAACACAGATTTTCTTAAAAGTTTTTAAATATTTTTATTGATTTCAGAGAGGAAGGGAGAGGGAGAGATAGGAACATCAATGATGTGAGAGAATCATTGATTGGCTGCTTCCTGCAGGCCCCCTACTGGGGATCGAGCCCACAACCCGGGCATGTGCCCTGACTGGGAATCGAACCCGGGACCTCTTGGTTCATGGGACGCTACTCAATCCACTGGGCCACCACAGCCAGGCGATCACTGAGATTTTTTGACACCACTTTATATTTGCACCTGAGGGTGCTGCCTCACTCACCCTAGTCCCTCCCCTTGTTCAAATTTGGAAACTGAGGCACGAAGGTGAAGAAATTTCCCAGGACAGAGTGGACTTCAGCCCCAGGCAGTGTGGCTCCAGAATCCGTATTTGTAACTCAAAGGCTGGGCTGGGTCTCCAATAAAGAAAGATTTTGTTAGAGTAATAAATGGACCTGAATAGGGTGATGACAGAACAGTCCAAAAGAAGCAGAACTCATAACACCTTTTGCTTGAGTGAAGGGGTTGAGGAGGAAGGAGGTGAGAAAACCCTGCCTCTGGTAAGAACTGGCTGACGCCTGGCTCCAGATCCTACCTCTGATTCTCGGTTTCCTCATCTCTAAAATGGGCCCGTTGCAGCCTTTTGGCCTAGTGAAAACCATCAGCTGGTTTTGGCTTACCTGTCTGTCCTTTTCTCATTTCTTGTTCTGTCTGGGAAGAGGGTGGGTGGGAAGGAGTCAATAACTGGTACTGTGGCCTTGTGACATTGGGGATCTGCGATGAGCATCAGTGGTATTCTGAGATCTCTGTGACAACCAGGATGTTATACAGAAATATATCTCATTTGTTGGCCAAATCGCAGGTCCTGCTCGTGCTACTGTGGTTTGGTGCCCACATCCAGAATGGACAGAGTTGCTCAGTTTCAGGTAGAGGCTAGTGAAATAAAGATCATTTTCTCATCCAAGCCCTGACCCTACGTTGGGACCTCCAGTGCTAAAGGAATTTCTGGGGTCTGGTTTTCTTGGTAAAATTTGAACTTGAAGGTGCTTCCATCATAACTAGATCCAGTAGCGCCAGCATTTGACTACTTATTCCTCCCCACTACCACCAAAACAAATTTTGCCTTCGGAGGGATCACCCATCAGGGCTCTTTGTAATACTTGTGTACAGCCTTTTTCTGATAAACGGCTCATAAGATGGCTTGATCCTCACGTGAGTGTGTGGGACTTCGGCCTCTAGAAAACAGACATCATGAGTTTGTCCGTCAGGTCTGAGGCTCTGCAGGAACTCTGCACGTGCATGGTCTTCACGCTGTGATCTCTGGTCCCAAAGGCCCATTTCAAATGCCACCTCCTACCCTGGCCCCACCGGAAGTACCGCCTCTTCTCTCCCAGAGCAGACAGTTCTCGTTATATCCTGCTTGGGGAGGGGGTGTTGTTTGTTACGGTCCCGTACATCTCACTCCCCTGCAGTGGTACCCTCCATCGGGGTGCAGACCCACGGGGCTCCGTCTGCTACGTTCTGTGGACATACAGGCTCTCCCATATGTGTGTGAGACAGCAACAGGACAGCTGTTACCGTCCGGAATTTTGAAACTGCCTCTGGTGTCTCCGTGGTTTTGTGGTTTGAGGTCACGGAACCCTTCTCACGCTGAGCGGCTGTGGGTAGGTAGGTTGGCTAAGACATTAGAGATGAGCCGCTTTCTGGCCTTGAAAGTGTTCTGTCCTTAAGAACTGTCGATATTTTAACATAACTTTGCTTTCTTATTACAAAAGCAATACGTGGTCACAGGAGGGAAGGTAGAAAAGCAACATAAAAGTGAAAACCTGTCATCCAGCCATTGCTGCAGCTCCCGCTCGGGGCGCCTCCCACTGCGGGCAGATCAGGAGCGTCCTGCTTGTAAATGCTGTGATGAAGCGTGGCGGGGAGCTGTGCGTCCGCGTCTCCCAGAGAGGAGCGTGGAATATGGCCGGGTGCCCAGGGGCCAAAGGCTCCATCCGGATGCCCGGGTTGAATTCTGGCTCTGTCCTTTTATGTGCTGCTTGACATTGGTCCTATCGCCTAAGACAGGGGTGGGCAAACTTTTTGACTCGAGGGCCACAATGGGTTCTTAAACTGGACCGGAGGGCCGGAACAAAAGCATGGATGGAGTGTTTGTGTGAACTAATATAAATTCACAGTAAACATCATTACCTAAAAGGGTACGGTCTGTTTTTTTTTAGTTTTATTCATTTCAAACGGGCTGGATCCGGCCCGCGGGCCGTAGTTTGCCCACGGCTGGCCTAAGACCTTGCGCCTCAGTTTCCCCACCTATACAATGGAGATAATCCAAGTGCCTA